TTGGTCGTATCTTTCGATATAAGGTTAGAACCCAATTAAAATATGGGAAATATCATCATCAATGGCTACAGCCCAGTGTGGGCCTTGGCCTTCTCAAGAAGTTTTTTCCGGGCTAACCTTTTTTCTTTCTGCTAGTGTTTTCCAATTTTTAGTTTTTAAGACCAAAAGGTCTTTCTCTAGGCCATCTATCCATCTCAAATTCAGCCTGCCTTTTTTTTCGTGTGCCAACTGGTCTTGCATTGGAAACTCTTTTTGTAGTACAGTCTTCGTCCATTCTGATAGCGTGGCCTGCCCATTTTATTCGTTGTCGTTTAATAAAGTTAATAATATCAGGTTAATTATATGAGTGATAAAGCTCTAGAATTGATTTTCTAAGCTACATACGATTTTTTTGAATTCCACCAAAAATACTCCTCAAGACCTTTCTCTCAAAGGTACCCAACATAGCCTCATCTGTACAAGATAGGGTCCAGGTTTCACAAGCATATGTTAAAATTGATCTTAAAAGAGATTTATATAATAAAACCTTTGTTTTAAGGGAAATATAGACATCATTATTAAAGAATTTTGGCTTTTTTTATTCAAAATTTTACCAATACGATTCTGTAATGTGCATTATAATAAAAAATTTTCTGTTTATATATTTTTGATGAATGTCTTTCTTTTTGTGTAATTTCTGATAAGAAAAATTTTCAGTTGCATCCAAATCAATACTTTCCTGTTGAAAAAATAAATATCTTAAAGCAGGAAAATTTATAGTAATAAATTACCTATCCAAAATTACTACCCACACAAATTTATAAAATCCACAGAAGTTCCAAAATTAGTTGAATATTGCTTTAAAAGTGTTACTATGTCTTAAACTCTAATATAAAAACATTTTTATTTCCAACATTTTTTTGGAAGGTATAGTGCTGTCAAATGCTACTGTAACATCAAAAGTTTGTTAAAATAAAAAATGAGAAAATTAACTAACTAATCTTAAATCCAAGATAACAAGAGAAAAACCCTCATAAGCATTACAAAGCAAAGACTGCGCATAAATGCGCTATAAAATAATAATATACTGTAGTGTAATTTCTGGAGACAAATGACAGTAAGAAGCAGGTTTAACCGATTTAACAACATCTAACCACAGAAAATTTAATACCATGTGCAGTGTTTTGAAGATACATTTGCTGATTCTTATTTTAATATCACTTAACCCCTTAACGATTGGTTAATTTTCAAGAAAACGGCCATAAAAATGCCTATCATCTAATCTAATGATATCTAGTTTAAAATAAACTATCTACAATTACCTTAAAAATATCCTGGTACTGCCATCTGGTGTGTAAAATTAGAAATAAAATGTTTACCGGGCAAAAGAAATGAATTAGTTTTATTCTTATTGGCGCGTTAATGAATTAGTTATACTCTGAGCACTCCAGCCCATCAATATCATGGAAGCGAGAAGGAAGGGGTTAAAGTCTGTGCGAGAACAGCTATCTCTGTTCACTCCTCTGTATACACAAAATAACTTATCTGCAATTAGATGAAATTAAGTGGTATATATTGACTTGGTGACGTGAGCCGTTTTCAGTAAGGTACCATTCTATTACATAGCGAATATTCAATTTTCATTAATCATCTCAATCGTCCATTTTTTGTTGCAGGTATGAGGCAAAAGATCTTGGCCCACTGTTGATGTATTTTTTAATGCTCATAGTACATTTAGAGGCCACGTTTTGATTCAATTTGTCAAACTCCTAATAGTTCTCTTATATTGTTTGATATTAAAAAGAGGCACAAATAATATCCATATTAAAAATGATAGAAATATTGGACATTGAAATCAAATTTTGAAGGTGGAATTAAGGAACACCTCATCCCAATGATTCTAACAATGGGTGACCAGGAACTTCCTGTCAAATACAGCAATGTAGGATTTTGCAAATAAATATTTGGTTTTGATGATCCAATAAACATATCAAAGATTTACAAATGCTCATTGTGAAATCTTCAGTAGTAATAACCTTCTCCGCAAAAAGTTTCAGTTCACTTTAAAGAAAACATTTTGATGAATTCCACCATTCACTTTTTCAAATTGAGCATCTTTTTGATTTTAGTTTTTAAATCAGTAAAAAAGCTATCACTCAAAAAAATTTGTTTAAACTTTTTGCAAACATATTCGCTACAAGTTATAAAACTAACATTCAGTTCATGTCATAGATGAGCGAAGACTTTTTCAGATACGCTTTGAATGTATACTATAAATAACTAAATTATAAAGAATAAATAATCTTCATAATATTTATTCCGAGGTTCGAGAAAATGAAAATTAAATAAAATGAGAATTGGGTTGTTTTTTTAAATTTGGAAAAAAATTTCCAATCCATTCATTTCCAATTCAATATCAGTTTAAGTACTAACTTATTGCCTGTCGTGTAATTTAATTTTGGCTATATTCCTGAATGGCCAATTATATTGATTAAAATTATCAATTGATCAATTATATTAAAACTTTTAACTGATATATTTATTACAGGTACCTTCAAATACAGGTTCTACACTAACTGGTGCAACCATAGCAGTACGCTCCAAGCAAAACAAACAGCTGAAGTCAACCAAAGTCATTAAAAAGAATAAGCATGTTGTGCCTACTAATAAAATAAGGATGAATTTGCCACAGGTTGCCAGACAAAGGTTATTAAGATCGATTCGAGAGGCTAAAACGCATTTATCAGAAGAAGATATATCGTGGGTTTAATTTTGTATCGTATTATTATAATTAAATTTGACATGTATTTAATGTTGTGGTAAAGGTTTGAAATTTTAATAAAATTTTCTGTATAAACTTTTTCAAGACTATGAATGCACAAACATTATACATACCAAATAAATACTCATCTTTTTTCTCGGATTATTACTTTTTAACTGAAGAATCCTATTTTGTGTGATTTAAATTGCGTCTTTCATTAACCATTCAAAGAACAGATTTGAATGTGACCATCTTTATTCAAACAAGAATAAATAATGTGAACTTTGTGCCACATATGTATAAAGCAAAACAATGTGGATAAAATATAAATAAAGCTACAGAAATGGACATACTATAGTTTCAGTTCTATAAACAAGAGCCTTTCTCATTGTCTAGACATAAGAATTTAAATTTCAAAAAGAAACAAAAAAAATTGTGGTCAGACACTGAAGAAAGTTCTTGTTTATAAAACTGACACTATAGCATGTCCTTTTGTGTAACTTTATTCAAAATCATCTTTCACTTAAAAAAAATTTTTTGCTTAACTTTTGTATATAAGAAGCTTTCTAGCTTCTATCACAGTTTAATTTTCCTAAAGAGCGTAGTTTATGCGGACAGTAATCAACCAAATTTCCTAATTAAGGATTATGCTATATTTCTAAACTTCTCCAAAAAAATTTTTTTCATGAAAATCTCTTTATCTTCAGATTCTCTAAGGGGGGAGTTATAAAATTTCTTAATTTGTCCCTGGAAGGAAAGACTCCTTTTGTATTTGTTCTGCTTAACTTCAATGAGGATGAGAAGCAATAGAAATAAGTTTCTCATGTAAAAGAACAATTCACTCCCATAATAAACTAATCTTCTTATTAAAAGTTTTAGAGGGAAAAAATTTGTGCAGAGTGATTGAGCACTAGACAAACTAGTCACCAAAGCATTAAATTATCTAAAACAGTTTTTTTTAAGCCTATTGGAATAGAATTTTGGCAACAATCATTTAAAAACATAAAACTAAGATAGTTTATGTAAGCAAAAGTGCCAGTTAAACAGTGAACAAAAAGTTCATGAAAGAGAAGGGCCGTAGCGGGGTACAATAGCATTTCTAATCGTGAGTTATTATACAATTCTCAAATCTTTCAATTTGCCCCCTGCCTCCCCCTCCACATTTATAACATCTGAACTGAATCACACTGTACAGTATTAAAATAAAAAAATAGATTTTCTACCATAGGATTAGTAAATATTTTATTTTTATGAAGACATAATTTCAAATAATCTTTAATTCACTAGGTATGAAAATTAAAGATCATTTAACATGTTGAGTACCACACATATTTTTTATGGAAATTCTACATGCAGGGTATCTGCTACACTTTAGATTTTCAAATTCATGATTTTCCATGACTAATTTCAAGAATTTTTCATGACTTAACGAAGTTACTATTTTTTCTGACAAAAACGGAACAATACATTTAAAAAAGCATTATAATAACATTAATTGAAATGATAGTTATAACCAAAACAGTCATACTCTGCATCTTCATATTTATAGATTTTAAATTTAAAAAACAGAGTAAAGAAAGAGTTGAAACAATAAGATAGCTGAAAAAAAAATACAAATGCAAATAATTTTTTTTCTGCAGAATTATATTCTAAAGATACTTTACTTGTTCATCAGAAAGGAAAGAAATACTCCTGATTTTTTTGTTCTCATTTCGGAATAAAAAAAATTTGCCAATGACTGGTTTGCTTAAGCTAGAATTTTAAATTGATAAAATTAAAAAAAATAATAATAAAAATTCTTAAATCACAGAAGTTAAAAAGATAATTCGCTCTAGAAATGTTTTTTCTTTCATTTTTTGAAAGAACACCAAAATTTGTAAAGAACATGATAAAATCATTTTATATTCGAATAAAATATGACTGAGTGGTGATTTTGTTATAAATTCAGATATTTGGAACAGGATGAAATTGGGGAGGGGGATTCCATTTGAAAAATTATATTTTTCGGAGACCTAAATCCATGGCTTTCCATGATTTTCTTTAAAAAACAGTAAAAATCATGACTTTCCAGGTACGCGGATACCTTGTACATGGCAATCCTTCTAAGCAGCATGTGTACTGTTTAAAATGCTTGCATTTTTATATAAGGCAAACAACGTGTTAAACGAAGAAGTTTTAAACTCTAAACTTTCAGCCCCCCCCCCTGAAAAAAGATCAAGAATGTAAACACAATACAAAAAATAAATTATTAAACAAAAAGTTTTAAAAAATGAAAGGGACAAATTTATTAAATAACAATTCCTACAAAACAATAAATGCTCATACATTTTCATCTTCTTCTAGCATTTTCTGCATTCATCATAGACTCAATTTTGTTCAGTTCCCACAGATCTTCTTTGATTATCTTTATTAGAAGTGCAATACCTTCTTGCTGTGAAAGCAGTTGCTATAAAAAAAGTTTTTAAAATATTTATTTGAATATGTAAAGAATAATTACAGAAGATATCAAAATCAAGTTAACTGGAAGTGATTATTTTAAATAAACAGTTACTAAGTTAATGCTACACTTTCCGAAAGTATTTCAAGCATTCTTCTTACCAGGACCAAGTTATTTTTAATACTAAGAGATATCCTTATCTCTGATAATGGTAGTGGAATTAGCATAAATATGCAACATATTGATATTGGATAATTTTTATTTGATTTGTAAGAATATACCAACAGTAATTGTTATTAATAGGACTGGGCTATAAATCGGTGTATCGCGACATATGGATTTAATGCATATATCAGCAAGGCGATACACAACTTTCGTTACAGGCGATACATTAGAAATCTGATTTAAGCGGTAGACTAAAGACAACGAGAGCAAAACTATGTATAGATATAAGATGCGCAAGGATCTTTTTGTAACTGATACCGACTCGCACTGTGGAATATGATGTTCGTTTCGTTATGTTGAAATGGCCTTGATTGATGAGTGGTAGAATCAGAACCATAGTTTTGAGAATATATATCGTAATCTCGCATGTTCGTTTTCGCGCCTCATAGTTTTTTCTTTGTCGCAACTTGATATCGTTTTTTGTAGATTATTTTCAGTGGGACTGACTTTGTGATCGCCGTCGTTACCTTGTTCTGAACGTAATCTGTTATCGAAAAGAATATGGAAAGAAGTGTTTCTTAATTAATTAGGTAATTTTTTTTAAAACAAATAATTTTTAACGAACTTATTTTTTAAATTTACAAAAATTACAAATAATTTTTAACAAACTTATTTTTTTACTTAACAAAAAAAACTTTAATGCTAAAAAAAATATTTCCTAGGAAAAAAATTATCCATAAAACATTAAAAGTTATGTTTCTCAGAGATGCTTTTAAAAATGCAGAGCTATCATAAAAACGCCTATAAAATTAATCTTAAAAATATTTTATTACTATAAATAAGTTTTGTAGTAATACAATATTCTCAGGTGTCTAAAGCAAGGTAAAAAATATTGTTGATTAAAGTTGAAAAACAATAGTTGACATACACATTATAATTCCCTTACACACTACAAAACAGAAAAATACAGTGATGAACAAACAAAAAATACACTTTTATTAAAATAATTTATATGTTTTTAGGTTAAAATACAAATATGTCTGTTAAAATTTGAAGAAAAAAAATTCTTATAAAATATTTTACTATTGGATAGGATTTTATTGATTTCATTAATCAAATAATGAAGAGTGATGCAAAACATAAAATCATGCCTGCTATCATATTTGAAGTCTTTATAAAAGCATGTTGAATATAAAATTTGAGAATCAATTATTACCTCTTTTATTTCTTCCTTGGCTCTTTCATCAATACTATAGCGTTCACTTTCAAACGTTGATGTCTGATTCTGCATTCTTATTTGAGAGGTTAATTCCTTCAAATGGCCCTAATTAATAATAATATCATGTCATAAAACAATATTTTGAAATTTCAGAAAAACGATAAAACAAATACACAGTCCTACTTTTTAACTCTGTATATAATTTGCATATTTCTTTTAAAATTTGCATACAAATTTAAATTTAGTTTTAATTTATTAAATGTGTAAAGTAAATGTATTAACTTAATTGATAAAATATAGATTTCAATATTTATTTTATTAGTTAATATGTATGCAATAAAATAATTAAAGGTACAAACTAAATTTTATATACAAATTGATACCTAAAAAGTTCACACAAACTTTTTAACAGTATAGTTTAAAAAAATAAATAATTTAATTTGTTATGCATTTCAGATTAGCATAATTTATGAAATTCAACTTTGTAAATATAAAAAGTTTAACATTAATTTGAGACTCAGAAACCTTTCCTTATTTGCAAAATGAAATAAAAATGAGTAATTCATACCCAATAATTTAGTTATTTACATAGTAATATGTAACAAGAAATATGTTCATATTTTTAATACTCTAACAAGCTAAAATTTATTATGCTTGAAAAGATTAAAAAAATATCAAATTTTTCAATTTATAAATTAAAAGTATTAAATATATTGCAGTAAATAAGCAAGTAATTTTACAGTTCGGAAATATTGCTGTTTATACACAAAATTAGTTGCAATACAAATTAATATGCATATAAGATATGATTTATATATTTCAAAATCTTTTTTATCCTGAATGTCTGAACACAGGTAAGGAAAACAATCCTGTAAGACAATACTAGAAGATATAAACTTACTCACAGTGTTTAGATTATTTGTTTAACCAAAACCGTTAAAAAAGAATATTTACAGCAAATGAAGTTTCTTTGATTTTTGTCTTTATTTAATGAGAAACTTTTCATAAACTTCAAGAAAATTATTCTGTTAATGTTATCAGAAAAAAGTATTTGAAAATCTCCTTTCCTTTGAAGGTGTTTAAAAAAACTCCTTTTAATTCAAGTTATTTAAAAAAATGTAGCTAAGCAATGAAAAGATACAATGTAATGTCCCTCACCTGCCTTGTTTAGAAGCACAGCGTTATAGCAATGTGACACATGAATTAGAAATTGTGGGGGAATCTTATTTTTTTCCACACAAATGTTTGTGAACATATGTCCGATCTTTTCTTTATTTTTACTGTTGCATTATTTTATCAAAACATGACAGTGTAGGAGACAATGAAATTAAAGCTATAAGTGTTAGATGCCTAGCAATTTTTAAAGGCACAAAGTTAAATCATAAACAAAACCCTCACATTTTCCCCTTCAGTGTAAACAAAAAATAATAAAAGACAACCTTTTTTTAAGTATCATTACAGAATTTTTGTTCATTACAGCTTTTATTTCTTCAAATCGACAAGGTTCCTTTATCCTCGTTATAAACGAGTTTAATTATATAACACTATTAATAATTCAAACTTATCTAATTTTTAAAAAAAAAATTAATAAAAATTAGAAATTCTCAACAAAAAAAAAAGATTATTAATTTTAAAGTAAGAAAAATTTAAAACCTTAAATTGAGTTGGAGCACTAAGTTCTGCTTGAATAGCTTCCAGTTTTACTCGCAGTTGTTCTTCATCTGCTTGAATACTGTATCCCATTTTTCTACTAACTTCTTGATGCACTAATACTTTTAAAACTCTATGCTGTAATTCCAAAAGTTTTCGCTTATGTTCAGCAATCTTGGCAACAGTTGTAGTGTGATTGCGATTAAGTTCCACTATATCATCAGATATAATCTATAATTAAATAAAGAAGACTTACCACCTGACAGCATAATTATATTGTTAGTAAAAAATAACTGTTTAAATATAAACGTATACAGATGATGAAGACTAAAACAAATAAATAATAATCAAACATATAAATAAATGTTTGAAATTTATATTCAATGGCAAAAAAGAAACAAACTTTATAATAAAATGTACTCAAAATAGCTGAATTTAAATTATATGCTGTTATAAGCTAAGTCTGACAATAAAAATTGGAAATAAAAGAATTATCTGAAAAACAAACCCCTAAGGATTTATAAAAAGTGCAAAACAATTTATTAAGATTACAAATGTACCCTTACTTATAAAAACAAACAATAGATAACTAATTAAACAAGTATAAATTTAAGTTTAATGAGCACTTATTAAACAGGTAAAATTTTAAGAAAATTGCCATATATTAATAAGATTACACACTATATTGATTAAAATAATAAATTAATGTAGAATTACATCCAATCTTTTTTGATGTTGTTTCGTTTCATATTCTTGAAATTTCATACGACGAGAGAGCTCCTGAAAACCAATTAGCGGTACGGGAATAAGTTTGCCAGGATCTGGATTATCAAGATTTGCTTGTTTCCATACTATAGGTTCGATTCCTAGGATATTATATACACAAAATTTGTAAGAAAATAATCTTGAAGATAAAAAACAATAAATAAAACACATACAAAATGTAATTCATATTTATTTTTTAACTGACAGAGTGTTTTTGACACTTAAAGGTATTTACTGGTTGTTTTTCCTGCATAAGCCAGTTTTCCTCTTTGTTATTCAATAAAAAAAAAACTGTGTAATTGGGGGGAAATCTATAAAAAGCTGTACAAATGCGAAATGCTTGGTTGGTTTTAATCAAGGTACATGTCAAAATCCTTATTATTATTATATATATACATATATATATACTTTGTAGCAAATTATACAGGGTGTTTATAATGTTCCGGACCCATTTTGATGTTTAATAACTCATAAAATAATAAAGATAGATTAAAATTAATAACATAAATGGTTAGATAGACTCAAAAAGTTTCATGACCCTTGTCAATGAACTTCCAAGTGTGCCCCCTTCTTTTTTAGAGGTTTACAACAGATATGGTAGGAAGGATAGAAGATGCTGCTGATTTTCTGAAGCGCATAATGTTCTCCGACGAAGCATTCTTTCATGTTTCCGGCATTGTTAATCACCATAATGTGCGCGTATGGGATCTGAAAACCCCCATGAATACCGTGAGATATAAAAGGATTCAATAAAGGTTAATGTGTGGTGTGGACTAATGCACAACCGAGTCATTGGGCCTTCCTTTTTTACAGAAAAGACGGTCTCATCAGTCGTATACTTAGACATGTTGGAAAACTTCGTATTTTCACAACTAGAAGAGCTTCAGCCACGTCTTTTTGCAACAAGATGGTGCACCACCTCATTGGGGTATCATCGTTCATAGTTCTTTGAATGACCATTTTACAGGAAGATGGATTGGGCGAGGAGGTCCAATTCCTTGGCCACCCAGATCACCTGATATAACGCCGTTAGACTTTTTTCTTTGGGTCTTCCGAGTCTTTGGTTTACAGGAGGATCGTGTCGAGCATTGATGACCTAAAAGCTAGAATTACAACCGTAATAGGCTCTGTGGATGCTGACATGCTTGCCGCTACCTGGCGTGAAATTGACTATCGACTTGATATTCTCCGTGCGACGAAGGGGGCACACGTGGAAGTTCATTGACAAGGGTCATTAAACTTTTTTGAGCCTATCTAACCATTTATGTTATTAATTTTAATCTATCTTTATTATTTTATGAGTTATTAAACATCAAAATGGGTCCGGGACTTCATAAACACCCTGTATTATCATTTCTCACCATGCCAGTAGTTCAAATAGTGTTTTGGTGTCACTACCAAGGATAAGCTTGTATTATTTGTGTTTAAAGGAGAGAAAAAATAATAAAATAAAAGAATGATCGAATGAATTCTTAACTGTGAGTTTTGATTTTCATACTATATTGTTATATTTTTAAATTTTAAAGAATCAAAATTTTCATTGATTAAATTTGTGAATTTTATCACTGAAATTTACAAATTTCATTGATGTGTTCTTAATGAACACATATTAAATATCACTACTCCTGCCTCCTCTAACATCTTCGAGTGCAAAAAACTTCTGAAGAGCCTGTTTGCGTTCTCTAAGAAAATTGTCTCACAGTGCATATAGCTGGTAACGAATCTGCAGACTACTTTGCAAAGCAGGGAGCTTCTATCCTACAAAGATCAAAGAAAGCTGTCCTTCTTGTCAATGCTAAGCACCTAATTAAGAAAACGATTAAGGAACACATTTTAAACCAAATCACAGAGAGAAATTCTTGAAAGATCTGGTGGAATAATTTCTAAGATCAATGCGGCAAAGACGTAAAGCAGTCGACAAATTTTTGACTGGCCATTGGACACGACTGCCTTCTTAAACATCTTCAACAAACTCATTTTGGATAAGCTCCTTTCTGCATGTTCTGTCACCTTCAGGAAGAGATGGGTGCAGGCCACCTTCACAATTTCCAGACACTAAAGGACACCTCTTTGTGTGATCGTTACGGGAGTGCAAGGGACTTACTGAGTTCATAGACTTTTTTTTCGCCATGCCTGTTATGTTTTTCTTTTTTTATGTTCTCATTTGTTTCTCCCCTTTTGTGTCTTTTGTAACTCTGGTCGTTGGAAATAAAAAAAAAATTTTCATATGTTATTAATTTGAATGAAATACTTGTAATTCAATTTAAATTAACTGCAGTTTTATTTTATTGATAGAAATCTGCATTTTATATGAATAAAAAATGGTAAATAAAAACATATTAAAAAGTGTAATCAAATTTTCACTTAATTTTTAATTTTTATCAATTCCATTATTTTGAACAAACTTTCTAAATTATGAATCATTTAGCATCTTATGCTAAAAGTATTAGGTTTTTGCAATTGAAAATCAACTATACCAATATCGCCAAATAAGTTGTTTCACTAGTAACTGATAAGAAAATGCAAATCTGAATAGAAAGTCAGGGTGAGAAGCCAAATATTTCAACAAAAAATAAGCACTTTTCAAGCACTCAAAAATATTTTTAAGCACTTGAAAAAAAAATAATTAGTCAGTGTTGGCAAGTTTTTGGCAATTGACAGTCTTAACCGTCATGTCAAAAAAAAATTTGGCATAGCTTTTGACAATGGTCAAAAATCATGAAATTTTGAATAATGTAAAACGAGTGGCTTTTTTGCACGTTACGGGCGACGGTATGCCGAAATAGATTGGGGTTGTATTAATTATGAAAATGTTGAATAGAACAATGTGAACAGTGTCTTTTTGCATAATTCGTGGCAAAAATCAACATGGTAAAGGAAAAATCTCATTTTGGAAAAGGAAAAATTGAGCACTTTTAAAAACAACCAAAATGAAAAAAGCACTTTTAACCCCTTAACTGCCGAGGGCGTATATGTACGTCTTGGCCAGACGGTGCGTTAGCTGCCGCAGGCGTATATCTACGCTTTCCTGAAGTACGATGCTTTGCATTGCACTGCTATAAATAGAACTACACCCCCGACTTCGGAATGCAGTAAAATGACCTTGAAAGTGTTTGCGAATGTGTTACCGATTTCGGAGGAGGGGAAATGGGAAAGGGATGTGTTTGAAAAGTGATATCATCGTATTTATTGCTTGTGTGTTTCGATTTAAGTAAGGTCGGGTTTATTCTTCTTTCGCTTTCGTTTCCCATGTGTATTTGGTGCTTTTTATTTTTTGACTGAATATGTCGGAAAGTGATGATAGTTTCAGGATTTATCATGCAACAGCTAAGTTTTAACATATTTTATATTGTATTTCTATTCTTTAATTTAAGTTTTGTATTTTTCTTTTTCTTCTCTTGTGAAAGTAAACTGTTTTTAAATTGCAACGCGTGATTCTCACTTGAGCGAAAAACGGTGGCACTGGGGAGTGAATCACGTAAATTTCACTCGGCAGGTAAGGGGTTAAGAGCCTTTAAAAAACGAAAATAAGCACTTTTTAAAAATGCTTCGCACCCTGAAAGCGCTTTAAAAGATAACTTTTATACATTTTAAGGTTATATATCAAAGCATTAGTGAAATATATAATTCATAATATATAATGATAATAATATTCAATAGAATATATATAATTCATAAGACAACTTTTGTATAAAAAAATATTACAATCCATTTCATTTCTAACAATTTTGAATCACATTAGAAGCATAATTATTCATAGTTTCATACATTGTTTTACTCAAAAAAATTTTTAAAAAAACACGGAGGATAATGAGGATGTTTGTCTTTTTGTACTAAATGATTTACCACTCAAATAAGATTCATCAGCAGTTTCATAAAAATATTTGAAAAATTAAAGACTTAGCGCTACATTTACCGCATGTAAAATCATAAGTTAAACTAATTTTTTAAGTTCATAATTTAAGAACTGCAATATTTTACTGACCAGCTGGAGGATTTTCAATATACTGTTGCAACTGTTCTTTACTGTGTGCAGTTTTTGGAGCAACGCACATTATTCCAATAGTTGTAAGTTGAGGCTTTACAGTCGGCTGTTCCATGTAACTGCAAATCTCTGTAGGAGGAACTCTTCTGGTTAGACCAGTATTCATCCTCTCTAACAAATAAAAGGTTACTTCTGTTCTAAAATTCAAGAATGCACCAGTTTTATTAAAATGTCTTACAAATTTCAAAATCGTTGAAACACATATTCTGTATTAAAACATTGAGAGAAGATTTTAAAGTATTGATAACAAATAACTAACCATTTATAAAAAAAATAATAACGAATGTTAGCAATTTTACTTCTATTCATATTTTATTACTGCCAAGGAACAACTTATATCATTGTTGGGTGTAAGGACATTACATCACTGTCAATGAACAGTCTAAGTGATGGATGTGAAGCATAGTAAATCTTAACAATACTTTAAATCTTCAGTTTACATTTAATTTCATCACCGTCAATGAACAACTTATGCAAGTATTGCATTTAAAACACATTAAATCCTAATATTTTCAATCTTTAGTTCATATTTCATTTTATTACTGTCAATGAACAGTCTATCTAAGTAATATATTTAGCACATTAAATTTTAACAATACTTTTAATCTTTAATTCATATCGCATTCTAATACTATCAATGAACTGCTTATCTAAGTAATAGATTTAAAGTATCTTAACAATATTTAAAATCTTGCATTCATATTTTATTTTATCATCATCAATGGATAACCTTTTTAAGCAGATTTAAACCACATTAAATCTTAAAACATAATAATCTTCAGTTCATATTTTGTTTTATCACTGTCAATGAAGTATAAGTAATAGATTTATAGCACATTAAATTTGAAGAATACTTTGTATTTTCAGTTCATAATTAATTTTATTTTTTACAATGAACAACTGATACAGGTTGTCCAAATATGTAATAAAAAAAAAAGGTTTTAAAGCATTGCAGTAAGTACAGGGAAAAAATTGATTGTAGACATAACTAACACCATAGAATAACCATTTGCAAGAAGAAGGGAAAAAATGGTGCTGTATTGCACGGATTAAAGTAGGAAATATAAAAAATTTAACTTATTATTTCAACCATTTCCAGCAAAAAGATGACATTAAGTATTTAAATTTTTGTCTGCAAAACAACAAGAATAGGAATTAGTGCATAAAAAAAAATCTTGTTTCAACAAAAGCGTCCAAAAATAGAAAAATAACATATAATAATTTTTTCCTTTTGTTTCATTTATTATAAAGTTGAAGATTGAATATTTAAATAATGTGGATGGCATATATACCTGTCATCTGGTAAAGCTTTAATACCATCAACAGTAACAGATATTGTAGGTTTACTGCCAAAACACTTGTGAAGGGTATCAATAACTTGCTGCTGTTGAGCTACTATCTCTTGATCTTTTTTGTTAAACACAATGCCAACTATACAATCCTCCGGTTTGGCAGTTGGTAAACACATGTAACCCACAGACTAATAGAAAATAGAAAAAAGTAGAAAACAATTAAAAAAGGATTTAGCAACAAGTAAAAATAAAACATCAAAATTAAACAAACTTTAAAACAACAAAATGGATTTTCAGGTGTGAATTCAACAGGTGCAGCATTGGGAAAATAATAGCCTTTTCCTGTTCCCCAAGAAGCTTGCAAAAGGTTCCATTTGGCTATTATGGCATCTCTTTCATCTCCAAACAATGCTGGTCGATTGAGGGCAGTAACAAGACATGTCACATTATCAACTGCTGTTGGCTGAGCTGTAAGACCTGAAATTTTGAGTTAAATATAAAATAAGTACTTTAAATAAGTTGAATGAAAATTTCATTTAATTATTTTTATAATTATTCAATTATTCAACTTTATTAATTATTCAACATCCAGTCTTCTAGGTGTGTCATACTAGTGGGGTCATATTACTGGCCTGGCCGTACTGCTGGTTGACATGAAATATTTTAATAGATGCGGTAAAACAATTTAGAACATCAATTTAACCAATTAGTTCATATCGTTAGTTTTTTTAGATCAAAGTATGCATGGTAGCAGATTGGGAAACAATGGAACAAATTAGCAGTTCTCAACCTTTTTAGTTGTGGTAAACATCACTTTCACAAATTTATATAAAAAAAATAAAAAAATTTAAAAATCCGAGGCCCACTAACTAATATATACATAATGTACACATGTCAGAAATAAGTAAAAGAAAAACAAATGTTTAAAAAAATTTAAAAAATACATTATTTTATAACGAAAGTAACCTCATTGTATTCAAAAGAAACAATGAAAAATTAAAAAATATGACAACCAAAGCTGACGTCTTCAGGGGATACCAGCTCCGGAAGCCATAAAAGCAAAACCTTTTCTATCGAGAGAGCACAACAAATGTCTAAATTGCTCTCTCTGTGTACCCCAAAGGTTTTGCCAAAGTCCAGGAAGAGAATACAATACAAAATTTAAAATACGTATAGCAAATACAGAAGTATAAAATCAAGACAAATACATAGGAATAATATGCACAATAGCTTACTTGAAACATAAATCCAAAAACCAAATTACACTACCGATCGCCAGGAAACAACTGAATTGAAATAAACATAAAAACAATGCCCCCTAATTTACGCAGAAGAAAGAAAAAAAAAGGACAGAATAAAGAGTGAGAAAATTTTCTGTCCTTTTTTCCTTCCTTCTGAGCAAATTAAGGGGCGCTGTTTTTATGTTTATTTCAATTTAGTTGTTGCCTGGCGGTCAGTAGTGTAATTTGGTTTTTGGCTTTATGTTTCAAGTAAGCTTTTGTGCGTACTATTCTTATGTATTTGTCTTGAATTTATACTTCTGTATTTGCTTTATGTATTTTGTATTGTATTCTCTACCTGGACTTTGGCAAAACCTTTGGAGGTACAGAGAGAGCAATTTAGACATTTGTTGTGCTTTCTCGATAGAAAAGGTTTTGCATTTAAGGTTTCCGGAGCTGGTACCCCCTGAAGACGTCAGCTTCGGTTGTCATATTTTTTTTTCATTGTTTCAATTCTTTTTGGATTCTCAGCTGCTTAGCGTGTTTTTCCACTGGAAGTATTGTTTTTAATTGCTTTAATTATTTTGAAATATTTTCTCGTTGTATTCACTTAGTAGTCACAACTGTAATAACACTCAAAAACAAGAAATTAAAATTAATAAAACCTTAATGGGATTTTTGACACTGCTTGCCCTTTTTGAGAGAATTAATATGTCATTCTGGACAGAAACTAGATAGTTTCAGCCTAAAATTGCTCTCAATTTTCAATTTATTTCAACATTTATTTTTCAAAAAAAAAAAAAAAAAAAAAAAAAAAAAAAAAAAANCTAAAGTTAAAAAAAATTTGTGCAATTAGTCCAATGTGAAACTGGACTTATCCATAGCCAAGTACTAGTTTGCTAGCAGCTCACTTATCAATGGGAAAAGGGCAGCTGTTATAAATAACACAAATTTTGAGGGGGAAAATACAGGAGCAAAGCAATAAAAATAATTAAACTAATTAATGTTAAATTAATAACATTTTAAACAATAAAATGTTAAAGTTTGATTCATTATGACAAAGGAAATATTACCAGTTAAATTTGTGGGCTGCAAGCTAGTAGAAAATAATCCACTACCTCCTCCAAATGTATTGGTTGGTTGCCCTGAAATAACAAATACTTATTTAGGTAAAAAAAAAAAAATTTGAATAATAAGTTTTTTAAAGAAGAAAATGTAACCTTAGAATCAAACCAATTTTTTTAATGATTAGAATTTTGTTTACCAAAAGAGAATCCTGATGATGTTGTAGTTGGAGCTCCAAAACCTCCAAATCCAAATGAAGAGGCAGTTGTTGTGGCTGTTCCAATACCAGAGAAATTAAATGGTTGTGTAGAAGGAGTTGAAGTAAATGCAAAACCTGTACCTGCAGTAGTGGTTGCAGGTCCTCCAAAAGAAAAACCAGTTGAACTTGCTGGAGCCGTAGTATTTCCAAAAGCGAAGGCTAAAGAAAAATTACATAATTTTAACTATGACTTTTTTTCAACTTTTAAATGTAATAGAAGTTTTAATGTAATATAAAAAATTAATCAGACCTGAAGGTGCACCAAATGTTGGAGCAGAACTAACAGGATTTCCAAAGCTAAAAGCCATGTTTGTGTTAAGAAAAAAGTCAAAAGTGTACAACTAGGTTAATCTGAAATACAAAAGATATGTAAAGAGAAATAATGGTATAGAATGAGATCTTCTGTAAATCTTATGGAATGGGAAAAGGAAAACTTCAAAAGATTAACACAAGTTTAAATACAGTCAGTCCCTGATTTAATGAATTCACAGACACAGAAAATTCTATTTGTTAAATTGAAATTCTTTGTAACAATGGGATTCAAAACGAAAAATAAGAGTTTTCTGCATCTACTTAATGGAACAATTCTAAAATGCAATAACATGAAAAACATGAATAGAACATTGGACAGATCTCATTCAGCTGCTAAAAAGGCAGCAAAATTTGGATTCGTCCGACTTGCGTGCCCAGGAACAATGAAAGCATTTTTAAATCATATTTTTAGAAAACTAGTCCCAAAAAATTTCAAACAACCAAAAAAGTTGGTTTTGCATACGTTCTTATTTCCATCCATCCAATGATGCTATTATTATTTCCATTAGCAGCTGTTAATTTTTACAAAGTAAATCAAATTAAGATTTAGAGAAGTTAAAACCAGCATTTCCAGGAGAAAATATAACTCTTCCTAAATCACAGATTTTAGAATAAGAATGAATAAACAAAAACAATTTCTGTTATGTATTTCCATAAACTTATTGAATGTCAAAATGTTTAAATAAAAATTTCATTAAAAAAATTAAATTTCATCAAAAGGTTTTTTTTCTTCTTTTTACTTGGTCATAAAGATTATTTTGGGTTTATTATCAGTTAAATAGGGTTTTTTTTTTGCCTTCATTTTAGTAAGGAGAGACTAGATGTTCAATTGGAGTTTAATCTACATTAAAAATTTATAAAAAGATTTAGCCAATTAGAAGCTTCAGGACAAGAAATACAGGGGTCAGTCCAAGCCAAATTTACTACCGTTTAGCGATACCTTCACAAATGTAACTTAAGGGAAAACGATAGTTTCACAAAATACTTTTTCTTAAAGTTTTATTTTTGTGTCTCATAAGGAACAATAAATCCATATTTATGTGCTGATTTTTTAATATAATTCTTAGTTTTCACAAATTATGTCTAAATCTTCACAAAATAAGTACCTCTCAGAAAAACCTAGACAGATCCCTGAAATAAAACCTAAACATCTTTATTATCCAATGTTGCTCATGTATAAAAATTAAAGCAAATTTATTCAATCACACTAAAATATACTAGCTTTGATGGTTGAAAGTATTAATACTATTATTAGAACTTAGTAGCTCTAAACTAACTTTAAACACTTTGTTAATATTTGCATCAGCAATTGACTGTAGTATCTAGGTTCGACATGATACAGATGGGCTTTTCTACACTAGGAAACGCTGTAGACTCTTTACTGGCTATGCTTCTGGGTTACTGTTTCCGGTGCATTTTGAGGTAATTTGACTTACAATGTGTTCATTGCGTTAGTCAAAAATATTCAGATAATTTTCACAATAAAAAATTCAAAATAAAGACTAATTTTTAAAATGTCAGCAACTTTTTTGTAATTTTTTGATTTCCTTTTTTTTAGCAGCAGTAAAATGTGTAATTAAAAACCAAAGTTAATGTTTCACAAGAATAAAAATTTTTAAAAAAAACCTTAGAATTATTTTAAATTTTTATTCATAAACATATATTTAAGACAATAACACTTTTTAAGACTAAATCTGAGTTGCCCTTAATATTTTAAGAGTAAAAAGATTATCACAGAATTATTATACATCAATAAAAAAAATATTCTCAAGCATTAAATTATATTTTAAAACAGTAATAATAACGTGTTCTTTCAGAATGAATAACTAAAGCAGCCCATCGCATTTCTAACATCTTGAAACCATTGTCGTTAAGGATTGTTAGAACAGATATTAAAACAATAAAAAAAAAATCATAACATCACCTTTAAGTTTATGATATCGAAATAATTAGAAAAATGTTGTCGCTTCAGAGAAAAAATGAGATAGGTACTGTAGTCATGCAATCATTTTAGCTAGTTCAACTTTTATTTTAAACTATTCTTATTAGCCAAAAAACATATCTACCAGATATTTTAAGCTTATCTACCAAAATGTCACCATTTTTCAGCAACACTCAAACTGGTGAATTTTACAGCTTTAATTTAAATGTTTGTTACCAACCAATCTGGTAATTAGAGTTCTTTTCGACCTAAGTTTAATATAAAAGTTAGATACATAATTCTTCGAAAGCCTTCCAAATTAAAGATTTTTTTTGGTTAATGACATTATCTACACAATAGAATGGAAAAGAAATTTTTGAGGTATTAATGGAATAAATAAATTAAAACGTATTTAAGTTTTTATTAATAAATAAAGAATATTAAAATATATTACTTCAAAAGCGTAATAATCAGGCTTATTTAGAAAGAAAGAAAAATGCAAATTTGAAATTATTTACTATTTACGCTTTTATTTGCTTATTTCTGTACACTTCAATGCTTGAGCATAGTTCCCGATTTCTTCAATGGAGCATTCAGTTTGACAAGAAGTGACGTGATATAATGGGAATGCTGCATTAGGATACCCAATCTGAAACAAGGTTCTCAATCTTCTCCATTTTTTTACGGTACTTAATTTACGTCGCCCTAGAGTAGTACAATAGACTATTGGCACGGAGGCGAGAAGCGAATGAGAACCTGATTGCCGAGTTTTTCGCAATATTTCACCAATCAGGCTCTCATTGGCATCTCCGAAAAAGTCACAATTGGAAAAATTGTGACTTTTTTTCACAACCAGTATGGATGGGTGGTCTAATGTAAACAATAAGAAGCGTCCTTAAACCGGAAGAAATTTAGAAAATTTCCGGTGTATCCCTCCGCTTATGTTATGACTACGAGGCGATGTGTGAACAAGCCTAATATTCTATGCAGTTTTGGTTCAAATTTGGGTTCAAATCTAAACATAATTGTACCATTCATAAGAGCTTTCAGAAATGTATTGATCCTCAGAGGTCGTAAGGCCAAAAAAAATTTTGGAAAGTTAATATCTCATTGTGAATAATTCTTAAGGTTTGCCATTTTTTTGTCTTTCATCCCTTATTTGGCTACATTTGAATAAAATATCTTTTTAAGTTAGCCTAATTAGAAAATATTCTAATGATTATAATATTAATATGATAATGCTGAAGTTTAAAGGCTGAAAGAAAGAACTCGGTACATGTGAAATACTGCAAAAGATATGATGCAATAATATGATGGCGCGTTTTTTCAATCTGCGGCGTAAAAATATATCGGAAGCAGTAAC